GCAACACAAAACACGTGTAAAAGATAAGACGTCTTCTCAAAACGTCGGGTAAAAATGGACCACTAGTTGGTATTGTAAAGCATTTAGAGCAGTGTGAGAATTCCACTTATAAAGACCTTCACTGATTAGACTCAATCATTCATCAAAAATATCAATCAAAAATGGCTCTAGAAGTTTGCGTTAAAGCAGCTGTTGGTGCTCCTGATGTTTTTGGCGACTGTAAAATTTCCTCTGCTTACTCAAACCAGATCTCTGTTTTTATAATTTTGCATTCAGTTTTTGTTTGATTTTCAAAAAAAATTAGGGTTCTGATTTTTTAGTGTTTTTGTCGTTTCAGGTCCGTTTAGCCATCGGGTTCTTCTTACCCTCGAGGAGAAGAAGGTTCCTTACAAGATCCATCTGATTAATATCTCCGACAAACCCCAGTGGTCAGTTTCTTGAATCCGTTTTATGTTGTTTCACTTGTTCGTTAGTTGTTTGAGTTCGTTTTAGCCAAAATTTTGGGTTCTTGCATGTCGTAATCTACTGGATTCATGGGTGATCTTGGTTTATATGATGCAGGTTCTTAGACATTAGTCCTCAAGGGAAAGTACCAGTGGCTAAGATCGATGACAAGTGGGTGTCTGATTCCGACATCATCGTCGGTATTCTCGAAGAGAAGTATCCTGAGCCACCTCTCAAGACTCCTCCTGAGTTTGCCTCTGTTGGATCCAACATTTTCAGTACTTTCGGGACTTTCTTGAAGAGCAAAGACTCCAACGACGGGTCCGAAAAGGCGTTGCTTGTTGAGCTAGAAGCTTTGGAGAGTCATCTCAAGACTCACGGTGGTCCTTTCATCGCCGGGGCAAAAGTCTCCGCGGTGGATCTCAGCTTAGCACCAAAGCTTTACCATCTCAAAGTCGCTCTTGGCCATTTCAAAAGCTGGTCTGTCCCCGAGACATTGCCTCATGTCCGTGACTACATGAAAGCTCTGTTCTCTCTCGACTCCTTTGAGAAAACAAAGCCCGAGGAGAAGTATGTGATCTCGGGTTGGGCTCCTAAGGTTAACCCTTGAAACTACTTGTTATGTATGTTCCGCACCGCTACGAGACTATAATGTGGTTCAAGGTCTCTCTTGTTTCAATCAAATAATGTTCTTGAGCCCTAGCAAGTGTTATGTAATGGTCATGAGGAAGGTAGAGATAAGCCTTCGTTTGAAATAAAGATTTTGTCTCTGAAACCGAAGCAATCTCATATTGAAAGTAGCTACATGCCCATGTAAAAGGACAGTTCTTATTTTAGACAAACTGGTTGAGATACTCATCGACGCTTGTGTACTTGACCTCGGGGTAAAGCTCGGAAGCTTCAACTCCAACAGAAGGGTCTATATCGAAGGAGGTAAATTCACCCTTCACAAGTATTGTATGGATCAAACCGAACAAAAAATCCATTGGAGGTTGAGCCTCTGCAAATGCAAGCGAATTGAGGCAAAGACTTTAAATACGTATGATTGATTAGAATTCGATATGGAAACATTTTTTATCGTTATCGGAAGGGAATTGAAGCAAAGAAGATAAACACTCACCTTGGATGCTCTTGAGGACTTGTTCCTCTGAAACATAAGTCTTCTCCAGAGTCTTACCAATCTTTCTCTCCCACAAGGCGACCATTTCGTTCTGCGATACAATGTTTTTGGGCGGGTGGATGTACAGAATCTTGTTAAGTGTTCTCGGATCATCGACAGCTTTCAATGTATATGCAATAATATCTTCTTCGGTGTTGATAATGGCTATAACCGAAAAGATAAAGAATCACAAATTAATACCAAGATTGGACAAGTACTTGAGTGTAAATATGAAGGCATTTCCGAGTACCTTTGGCATTGCCATTGTCATAAATTGAAACTTTGTCCCTAGGAGGAGACTTGAGTCGCAAGTGGCATTGGCCCAAACAAGGAACGAATAAACCAGCAAAGCAACCTGTGACCGCATACGTATAAGGTATCTTTGCGGCTTCTATGGCACGTCTTATTTGAGCTTTCATGATGAACTCCGATAGCATTGGCTCAATGGCCACCGTGCGGTCCACGTCGTTGGCAAATTCCGACGGTAAGAATCTCTGGATGACAAAAAAAGATTCGTTTCTATATCTATTGAGGATATG